TGCGCGCTGATTTCCAATTGTCTTTTAATGCTGTTTTCTAAATAAAACTTGTACTGTAAGTTTTTAAATATTACATTAAATATAGCAGAATATATTAGCTTATGTTAAATACAACAGATTGTATCAGCTAATCAATGCTTTCGTCAGTGGATAAAGCTTTCCCGGTTCATTTCGCACAAACAATCTCGATCCAATGAACTGTATCAACGTGATAATACTGTCGAGAAGAGAACTCGTCGTAAATGTGCAAACAATGATCCGCACGTTGTGCAGACTTAGGAATATCGCCCACGTTTAAGGATTATCAAGCCGCAATGCGTGGGTGAGCTTGCAAAGTTGATTAAACATTCTTAATCTCGTGAGGGAGTAGTATGTATATAGATGTGTGTCCCAAAATTGTGTATAAAAACCTCTTAATCTCTCAATTATGAGAAATCTTATCAATTCCCCGAATGAGATTAATAAAGCTGTAGGAGAAAATTGAAAAAGTATATTTTTTATTAAAAATTTTATATTAAATTAATTATTATTTATATTAAACTAATTGATATTGAGCATATCGTGCTCTTTTTACACTTGTGATTGTTTGGTATATGCCGAAATTTATTTTTTATCTGTCGTATCAGTACTATTTGTTATGTAAAATAATTGCAATATTATTCTGGTATCGATATCTAATTATAGAAATACGAGATAATATTTGACTGTATTGAGTTTACTGTTTTCTTTATAACGTAACCAAGAGGTAATACTATTAATTCCACTTCGGTCGGAGCACTGCAAAATGCATTATCGTAAAACGAAACCATTGTGGAACGTCTAATCTAATTTACTTTGCGAAGTTAAGTTTTATCGTGTTTATATGTCTCATAAAATAGTAATTTATGACGCTTTTTTGCAACAATTAGGCACCATTGAGTTGTGAATAGAATCAATGTGTTTAAACTGTGTGATCATCAATCAAATACGTGCACATTAATAAGGATATTTGTAAATAACGTTTAATCTTCAATTGAGAGCATAATTAATTATAAATTCATATTTAGAAATTATTATTTAACTATTTGGATTGATTGAATAATAGATTGAATTTTAAAAATATTATTTTAATGAAAAAAATTACATGTTTAAGAATGAATAAATATCTTTTTTGTCCGATCATTAAGACATTTATTTGGAAATGGTTTTTTAAATAACGCTATTAACGCTTAATCATTTACAAATTTGAAATTGGTAAAATAATAAACAATTTGTGGAAGATATTGCATGAATAAAAAGTTAATTGAGAACTGTAAATTCTTAACATCATAATCATTCACCAAATAGTAATAGATTCTAAATTTTAGTCTAAGAACAATGCAAACTGACATAAAAACTAGAGTTTATTTGCAATCTTTAACATCCTTTATCACCAACTTGCGCACTTTAGTTACATGTATAGTAAACTTTAGTCGCATGTAGTTCGCAACTGGGTACTAAAACGCCAGCAGCAAGACAATGTACACTTACCATTTCGAAAATCAGTTGAGAGTTGCATCTAAATTCCAATTCTGAATTTAGAATTAAAGTGTTACTATCTGTTCTCCAATAAGATGAACTTAATTAATGTGATTAAATTGATATTTGATTACAATTAATTAAATAAATTACAATCAATTAATTAAAATTTACATAACATCTGTATCTGAATCTTATAAGAAAGATTTGATAACTCCAAAAATATAAAAGTAAAAAAAATTTGTAAAAATGCTGTACACATAATCTAAATCGTATATAGTTTATAATATTATGATAAGAGAGATTAATTGTTAGATAATATTAGAAAATACTTTAATTTATTCGCAAATTTTACCATTTCTATCGAAATTTTTAAATGTATTGTACAGTGTATTGTGCATTATTATCGCGATAATTGTGTAATATAACACACAATTACTCATTATTCAGTTAGTTTCCAAGCATGATTATACAATAATTTCTATTATGGATATTACGGTTAAATATTGTAATGGTCGTTTTCGATTAATTGACTTAGTTTTGTGTGGTTGGCTTTTTCAAAAGCTTTTGTTATATTTTAAAAACTACTTTGCTTGTGGTTAATTGAGTTCTTAAACGCTTATAGTTTCTAGCGAGGCGATTCACAGATATCCAATATGTAAAAGCGATTTGCATTATCCCGCGGCGATTCTCAGGAATGTGCTTAATAAATGGCAATTTATCTATTGGTGGTTGGTCTTGCAAATAGTTCGAACCGCTGTAGCATCCTTCGTTGATGCAGGCGGTAGTAGACGGATACAAATTGACGCGCAATAAATTGGGAGTGCTGCAATTCGTGCGGAGCGTACATTTACGGCTGAAATGCGCTTTCAATTAGATCATCGATAAAGTTGCGCAACTTATCCTTTTAATAGTGAATGCTGATGAGGAAGAACATTTAGCACACATATAAATGTAGACACAATAAATTAATATTTGCCGGGAAAACATCGATCGCGCTGATGTAGAGCAGCACTCTCCAGGTGATTGCAAAATTGCATCGGGACACGTATTTATTAAGTATAGTATGCAATTTCTACACTGAGCATAGTACGCAATTTGCATTTTGCTGCGTATAAAACTCCAGTTGCTAGCGAGTTAATTGAATTCTTGAGCAGTGCCCGCAGGATGCTTCTGAATCGCATATTCTTTCAATAATAAACATACTGTGTAATTAAGAAGAACCCAACTCAATTGATTTTCAAAGAAATGTGATAAGTTTAATAATCTCTGAACGAGAGAAAATTAAAGTAATAACTGAGAAAGAATGGTGTAATGCAATATGTCAGTTTTGTTTTTAATATTACTCTTCATTAAAATAATTAAAGTATTAATATCGAAATATCGAATCTAACAATAAGACATTTTTCAAGCATAGCATGAGACATTTTCTCTCAGCATTTAGTGTCTATCACTATCATAATTAAAGGGATGTATAATTAATCAAGATTTTCATGTCTGTATTAATAACTGGATAATCTCAGAGAATGTTATGAAATAATTAGCGTTATAAAATTTGTTCAGTAAAATTTATAGTGGAATTCAGTTCGTCGTGATTTGTTGTATACGCCGAGAAAACATCAAGTTAAATTAATCTTTTGTAATAATGCAAGCATAAATTTCTATTGTGAAAGAGTCTTAAGATTTATTTGTGATAAGCAATACAAATTTTGTTGACATTTTTACTAAATTACATTACGTCATAAATTATGGAACTCTTTATTGACTTGTGCATTAATTTTAATGTAATAGAGTACAATTTATTTATGACTCTTGATATATCGTGTGCATCATTAAGAAGAACCATGTTTGACTCGATTGATCTTCGAAGAAATGTAATGAGTTCAATAATCTCTGAACGAGAAAAAATTAAAGTAGCAATTTAGAAATGATGGCAATTAGTTAGCAATATATGACAGTTAGTTATCAATATTTACTATTCTTATTAAAATAATTCAAATATATGAATCCTAAAATATTAAATTTTAGATATATTTAAATATAATTTCTCTTACAATTAGTAAGATGTGTGATTAATCAGGAATGTCATGTTTTAATAGCTGAATAATTTCGGTAAATGTTATGAGATAATTAGTGTCATGTAATTTGTTCGGTAAAATTTATAGTGAAGTTCAATTATAATAAAAGATGATTAAAATAGTTATACCTAACGCATTAAGTCGTAATTTTTTGCATATGCCGAAAGAAAATAGAATTAAATCTCTTATAATAATGCGAACAATAAATTTCTATTAAAGAAACGTCACAATTTTAATAGAAATATCAGAATATCAGAATTTCAAATTTATGATAAGCAGCGCACAATTTTATTAAAATTTTATTTAAGCTGCTTTATTATGAATTATGGAAACTGTTATTGACTTATGCATTGATTTTACTATATTCAAAGTAAAATTTATTTATGCCTCTTGATATATTGTGAAGATAATTAGCAAAGTTTGTCGACATTTCGGAAAAAATGATTTATTTGCTACGCAGATGCATGTTATACTGCGCGTATTCAATCGTAACTCTTTCATGTGCTTTATCGTGATATAACTAATGGGTGAAAAGAAACGACACTCCATCTTGGCCGCGATACGATACCTGGCTATAACTGAAAAGTCACATCTGACCTTATCGGCCTACATAAAAAGCGCGTAATTTAGGTAAATGACAATCGATATCTATTCCGAGGTACGTGCTAAGTGCAAGTTCTGACAAATGGTAACGTATTATGGAAAATGTATACCATGTATAAGCGTCAGAATATTCGTATTTGCATGACTTTATCGCCTACACAATCATACGGTTTATGATTGACTTTCCTAACCAAATTTACTTCAAGATCCACAGAAACACTTACATAAATATTATTCTGTTCATCAATCATCCTAATTGTTTGTATGCGTATAAGAATATAGAAATTCGATAAAAATTTATTTCATAAAAATGAGAAAGAAGATGAAATAATTATATTTTCCCACTTCAATATTTTCATTATATTTATTCAACTTATACATAACATTCATACAAAGAGATAATTAAAAATATTTTGTGTAAGCAATGCAAAACTACACACGTACGCACATATAAGTTTAGATAAATTGAAAACATATCAATAATTACAAAGAAATATTTTTTTATATTAATTTATATAAGATACTTTTTTATTTTTGTTTTCTTTGTAAAAATTTTATTATTACATATAAAATTAACATGAGAAGAAATAATAAATGTATTCTAATATTAAGTCAATAAGGAAAAAATCTATCTGATTCATAGAAATAAATCTGTAATTTTCTACAATAAAAAATATGATCACAATTATTAAAAAAAAAACTTAAATAAAATTCCCAAAAGTATCGATCGTGACGTTCTACGAAGCAGGATTGGCTATTTCTATGAAATTCGATTTAAAATTGTGGTGATAGGGTTGCGAGTTTTCTAGGAAAGTTACTCACCCTCGATATAGCAAAATCCCGATGGAGAACGGTCCCTTTGATGTCACCAGAATCCCGCGAGATGCACGGAGAGAAATGTGGATGAAGGAAAATGAAAGGCGATTCGAGATCGACGTGACGATGACCCGACCGTGGTTTTTTCTCGATCGCGCGCACTCAATCACTAGATATATTTCGACCTGCGAATAAAGGATCAGTCCAGTTATCGGATATTTCGCACCGCGTTACTCCACCATTTTTCTCGTAAATTTTTCTCAGCTATTTTCGTGAATAGTAGAAAAGATTTATTTAACGCAATTGCCCGAAAACTGAAAATTACACACACTTTCTCGTCATTAAATAGTCGTATATATTCAGAGTAAGATTTACAGAACTATACCAAATTACAGAAGCTTAATTCTGGGAACAATTCTCAATGTATCATATGCATATAACTATGTTATAGTCGTACGAAAAGCGATGAGCGCTCGTCATAATAATTGTAAGAAAGAAACTCGTTTTTTCCTCAATATTTGCTACATTAGCTTAAAATACATTTTTATAAGCTGAACAAAGTTCAGTTTTCAATTTTTTGGACGTAGACTTCCATGGGATTATATGTATGCAAAGAATAATAATAAAGTGCAGTGTAACATGATACGAAACTTTTTTTAGATACTATAATCAATTGTGAAGATAAAACATCTCCCCAATTTTCAATAAAAGTAAAGCTTTGACACGACCATGACAATATATATATATATATATATATATATACATATATTAACAATGTATTGAATGAGGTCAAAGAGATAGGTCAGTAAATATGACCTCGGTCCTTTCTGACGTAAGGACACCATCGTGCTGATGAGCTAGTGTTGCAAACTAAGAGAGATTCAATGTTTTGTTTAGTTCACTATGTCCGATATTTTGTTAACTAAGTTCGGTCTTTATAATTTAGCAAGCCGTAGTAATCTCAGAATGTTAAAGGTAACGGTGTGATTGGCGTTACATTTTTCAGAACCGAGTAGAATGCTATTCTTATTTCAGAAATGGAATAGATAGCGATGAAAAAGCAAGAATGTTATTGTGAAAAAAAGATTGTTCCATGAAACATGAATGTCACTTCGATCGGTAGCTTGTTGCGCGCATAATAGGCAAATCTATATTACTGGTTCGGTCATATATTTATATAAAAATTTAATATTATTCGATACAATTTTGTATAACAATCAGGTACAACATAATGTTTGTATAAAAATATAAGAATATTGTAAATATAATCTTCCGAGATAAACATTAATTTAAAAAATATTTAACATATTTACTAAAATAAAAGAGAAAAACTGAAAAGAAACATTTTAACAAAAAAATTAATTTCGTCATTTATCTCACAAATCGGTAAATATTTTTTCAGTTGCAGACATGTCATCCTTCGTCGAAATCCACATCGAACATTCTTCAGTTTCAAAAAAGATTTTTACAAACAGATTCAGTGCACTGATTCACGACACAATTTATATCGATTATTATGAAGAGCGCGCAATCTATCTCGCTTAACACGACAGTTCGTGCTATACATTTTATTTCGACCTGTACTTAAGTGTATTAAATATACCAGTAGAATAAAACATGACACTAACTGTGTTACGTGATACAGATGATTTTAATTGAGAAATTACTGCAGATCAAGTTGCAACGCGCGCGCGACCGGGCGGGAACAGCCGCTCGCGACGCGATAAGTCGCGACACCTAATAGCTTCCCTGATCTCTTACTTGCACGAGAACTCACGGAATATCCGTTTTTATCAAAAGTACATACCGCGGCACCACACACGAATCCGAATACGAGACGTGCACGTAACACCTAGTACGGAGGAAGCGCAGCCACTGAGCGCTGGGGGGTTGTTGCGCGGTAGGCACCCTCGAGCCAGCTCTACCGGGAGTGAGGGTGGTGGTAGCGGAAAACAGGGGCGATTTATACTTACACAGGCCCTGTGGCTAATAGTTCAGCTCTCATTAGCATATAAAAGAGCTTCTGAGGAAGAAATTTAGTTTCCAAAATACAAATAAAAGCACACGCATCAATTTTTTCGTAAATTTAACATTGGAATAGTTATCTTTAGTTATTTTTTGCGTAGCAAATCGTAAAATAAGAAAGTGAAGAGGTTTTAAAAATTACAATCAAAACAAGAAAAAGAAAGGAGCATATAAGAGCTGAACGTGAATATAAAATACTTAAAAAATATATATTTATATTGAATATTAAACTAATATAAGTAGTATATAATAATTGTATAGCCAAAATTATATTAATGCCCTAACATTTAAAAAATTACATCAAATTTTAACAATTTGAGGCGGACACATTACGTTTAAATCTTTATGCATGTTGATTGTTGATAAACATCACTTGATTGTTTTATGCATCATGATTATTGATAAGAAATTTATAAAGAAATGTTTAAAGATACCGAACTATCAAATACAGTTCTGAATTATAATATATTACACAAATGTCTAAAACATACATCTTCTCCGAATTGTCAAAATTTGATATAACTTTTTGTGCAAAAGTAATATTGATTATGTGTGTATTGATTTTGCTGCAAGAAACCACCTGTCAAACTGTCGTCTTTTTCATTGTGAACTTTTCGTAACTTTATCCGAATCTATTTGTCCAAATTCGATAGAAAATTGAAAAAAGTTTTGAAAGTTTTTGTATCTGTGGATTAGTTTTGATCTATTAAGTCGAAAATGCACATGTGTCCATATTACACGAGTGTTACATTACGAAACTTTAACACGGGATATGGTATTCTTAGAAAGTTTAAAATAACAAATATATTTTACTGAATAGACTTAGCATTTTTTAAATTATCATATTTCTAAGTTTTAGGTATATATTTGTTAAAAAATTTTTGTATCCAACTATAGCTAACAAGGAATTAAATATGTTTAAAGCATTTTATCTCTTATATTTTACGTGATTTTAGATTTTGGAAAATTTCGACAATATTAATGCATTAAAATTAAAAATGCTACCTATTGCTTGATGAATTTTTTTCCAACACTTATAACTGCTACCCTTTTATCTTTTTTTTTATCTTTATGGTAATTTAAAATTTAAATTATTTATAATTTGCGACTGAATTTGAGACAGAATATAATTTATAATTTTATGCACCATGTAATATAAAAAATATTTATAAAATCAGAATACACATATGTGCAAAATATATGTTAATGATGTGTGTGTATTCCGATTTTTCAAATGTTATCTATTATATAAAATTATAAACATATTTCTATTTAAAATAGAAACATATTTCGGGTTTAAAATTTTTATAAAAATAAAAAACGTTTGACTGGATGAACGGCTGATAACATGTATGTGACAAAAACCAAATTAGCTTCGTTCAAATGCTGACGTCAATACACTTTTCCACAAAAACAAAAAGCGTCAAAAATAAAACAGGATGTGTCGTTACTGCAGGAATTCCTCGATGGTTTGGGATTAAAATTCGTTTCCGCCTCAAATTGGTTCACAGTGAAAAAGCGTTGGTATAAATTCCATGTTTCGTAGCGAGAGACGAATCACTGGCTTAAAATCGCTTCGTTCGATGTTATCATTTATCGTCAAGCTCATTTTTACCTCTCTCTTTTTCTCCATTTTAGAAAAAAGGCAAAACATATTTTTAAAAAAGCATGAGGCAATGAAATAAATCGTAAGTTGAATCGTTGCTAGTGAATTAAAGGTTGAAGAAGATCTTTTTGCAAAAAATGATAGTTGATAATAATTAAAATATTAAAATATTAATATGGAAAAGAGTGTGTTACCAATAAAATATTGAAAAAATAATAGTTCTTGAAATTTTTAGATTTAAAAAAAACTCGTAAAGCTGAAGTATGAAAAAGCCAATATATGTTGATATCTACAAGTGCGTTTAGAACAATGAAATTAAAAAATTGACTTTAATATTTAATCAAGACATTTTGAACAGCATTTAGATTATTTTTAATTAACATAAACAAAATATGATGATTTATCATCGTATTTACTGCTAAAAATTATATCCCATTTGTTTCCGAGCGTCCAGTATCTTACATAGTGGATATTTTTATATATTTATAAATTAGAAATATTGTAAATTATACATACATACAAAAATATATAATTTATTTACAGAGATAACAATTTTATCCATAAACTTTATATTATTTAATATTGTTGAATCAATCATCTTATACTTCTAATAAGAGCGACACTGATTCGCAACAGCTGACATTCTTAAATGCAAAGCTAAATTGTTGTTAACTTAGGTGTTATAGATGTTACAAATGGTCACGTAAAGTCAACTGGATCAGGGTTACGGTAACCTAAATATTAAAACTATAATGGTAGAAAGATAAGAGTATTAGAAAGTACACGTATGAATACTCACACTGTCGAATAATGTATAATGCATCAGTTACAAACTATAATGAAAAAAGTTTGTGCTTTGTGAGACATAGAAAATTACTCATACAGAAACGAATGTTTTGATGTAGTTCTCAAAGACATATTTATTTTTTATTAACATACATTTGTGCGTTTTGTCAAACAACTTTTATGTTAAGAAGTGCTTTGAAAGAAATAGATTCACAAAAAATATTGTTACAAAATCCGCAAAAAAATATACTCTTGATTTCTCGCAGTACGCAAATCCATCTAATTTCTCTTGTGCGACACAACTCGCTACATATGTCTCATTATGTAACATCTATACACACGATTGTAGCTATTTCATCGACATATTAAGATACATATTATATCAATCACAAATTTGCGTGTTCGAGGACAACGTACAAATTGTTACTTTATCATTACAGCATTATACATAGTAGAAGAATATTCTTTATTTGCACGAGAGATGTACAGTATAATGTATTACCAAACTAATACATTACTAGATTACTACGCGTTAAAATATACTATTCGGCGAAAAAATTCGCGTGCGATGCTATCGCGAAAAGTGCACAGACTTTTACTACGTCGGGATAATTGTACAGGATTAATATAATTCCATTAGAAAGGCTTAATTAATTAGGGGATAATAATACTGAGTAGTTCTGCTTTACCAAGCTGTGTTGTTACATAATTAAACTGCTTTTAACGCAATAAATGTTTCATTGAATCATAAGATCTTGTGCTTAATGTGCGAATCCGCTGAACTCTTTCATTAAACTTTTATTGCGTGATTATTAAAGAAATATATATATACATACACATATATATGTCGAAAAATATATATTTTTCTCACACGAACTATAAATTGCGATATACAACAATGAGATATGTATTCTGCTAAGTGAAACTTAAAAAAAAACGTTTATATTATTTTTTAGATTAAACAATGTTCTTTTCGTAATGTTTTATATATAAAATATCTCTCCTTATAAAATAAATAAAATTTAATCTGAGGAGTAAATATATAAATTACACAATTTTTCTGCTTCAATGGAAACAGTTAGCTATTCATATTAAATGTAACAAAGCACAAACAAGAATTTCTTATTTTCATATTCTTTAGAAGAAGTTTCTTAATAAAAGTGACTTGCTATTTATATATCGTATTTTGGTCGACCCACTAGTGTGGTTACAAAAGAAGCATATAATCATGCTAGGCTGTAGCAACATTTTCTAAAAGCTACAAGCTAAAAGCTCTAATATAACCAGACTGAATCGCGCAAACTCGAGCGAACAATATATATATGTAGGAAATAAGAGAGACGCTTTCAGGTCAGGTTAAAAAGCTCTCCCGGTTATTGGCCTGACGTTATATGTGCAGGCTCTGTACATCTTTATTGTGCTCGACATCGTGAGAAGCTATTGAGAGCAACATAGGATAAACGAAGAAAATTATTGTCTTTTTGACAGTTCTGGAAATTGGACTGATTTTATATGTAGGTTACAACTTTTTGGAATATAAAAAATCTTTTTTTTTTTTCTTTTTGTAAATAGAAGAAGACGGTACATGTACGCAGAATTGAGGAGAATAGCTTCTTGTGCTCTCCTCACTGACGAACAAATATTTATAGTAGACATTGCAATAGTAAACATTAACAATAAACATTTTGCAAAATCTACTTTCAATTTTGTACTTCGTTATACATCTAAATATCTACTTAGAATAATTAAGATTAAATAGCTTTCTGATAACTTGCTTCAACATTTCTAGCAATTCTAATTTTGTTAATACCAAAATTTCCTATAACTTACAGTCGATAATTCAACTACAATTTTCTCTCGCATCAAATATGCAAAGCACGCAAGGCCACAATTTCATTTCACAGCTGCAATCTTGGAAACAATTTCCATTAAAATACAATTTGCTCCGGCTAGCAATTTAATATTTTTTATTACAATTATTTTTACAATTAAAGTTAAATTCTATTTCTGACTTTAAAAGTTAAAATGCTTTTACTTATTAACATTTCTTCAATAGTTTAATAATTTAAAGTAATAAAACAATGTAAACAAAGTAATAAAATATTAATAGATCGTTTATTATTCGAAAACATTATTGGAATCTCTTTTTAACTTTTTGATATTTACTGTCTAATAATTTGACAATTTATAAATTACAGAATAATATATTGCAGAAGATGAATAAAAATAAGAAAAACTACTTGATATTACAAAGGAGAGTAAAATAACGTTTTATTCGTTTCCCATTATTACAATTTATTGGTACAATTTTTGCAGCAAAATTATTATAATTTAAAGCTTCTTTAATTTATTTTATTTTGTTTTTAAATTTTTTATCTCTATGTCTCGCCGCATTGTTATTTGCGAAAATATTTCATGTGTAAATGCAATTTCTGTATTATTCTTCCGGATTATTTATTTCATATAAGGCAGTGATATATCATGTCGGGGCAGAACGCTCATGTCAGACGAACCAGCCTTAATCTTGCATGTGCTGTGCTCTTCCTTCACGTTAATTTAGATATTTCTCATCGTCATCGTCCGGCTTATCCTCATCATGCTTCCTCGTTTTCCTCGCCCACGACTTCTATTTCTTGCTCTCTCGCGCGAAACGAGAGAAGAGCGTAAATGATCCCCCCCGAAGGCATTTACGTATCGTTCATACCTTAATCACGAGTCCCCTCGAATGGCCGACGTAACGACTCACTTTAGTCATATTTAACATTTTAGCTCGCTGAGAATACGTGCGAAAAGTCATCGAAGAGACAGCATCTCTGAAATGTCTTATCTGATATTATTTTAAGATTATGTATTTACATGTAATAATGCATACATTTTTTATAAAGTAATTATATATATAAACAGAAGAAATAAAAATAAAGGAAATTTTTTATCTAATAATTAATTTAATTATAAAAACTTCTCGAATAAAATTTGAAAATGGGAGGAAAGAAAAATCAGCGGCATATAATAAAAATCATCAAATACTGAACAAAGAAATTTATTATTCTTTTATTTAAAATCAAAATTTGCTTAAGTAATCGTAAATAATAAGTATTAACTATATAAAAATACACATTAGCACACGAACACGTGCGTATATTTATTCTCAAATTTCAATTACTTTATTGTGTTACTTTTTTATTCATAACATACTAATTTTTCGCATCTTAATCTCATTTGTTATTCGTTCTGTAATATTCTCTTTTCATAAAACACGTTGGATAGTTTCATGAGATTTATGTGACATTTTAATCGTCTTTTTTAAATAGGCTTTTGCAAGATTTAAGTTTGCAGTTTTTCATGTTCATGTGCGTAAGGACAGCGACTTGAGATTTAGTGTATCTGAACAATAAGAGCGCTTGCATATTACGGCGATTAGTGTCACTATTCTCGTATCAAGTCGTTTTATGACTCTATTAAAGCGACCGGTTTCTAAAGAGTAATAGCACCACTGCAAGACTTATTTTACTAATAAAAATAGAAATAATAATACTGACAAATAAGGCGTCTTCAGTTGAAACAATTCCAAATCTGAGCGCTTTGTACTTGGTACTTTGTACCAAGTATTTTATCGTTAAACTTTGTGATATCGATATCAGATGCCTGGGCGATTATGCACTGTTTTCCATCGACTTACGATTCACAAACGAACTTTTGCAAAAGTGTAAAGGCAATAACCAACAATTATTAGCAAACGAGATTCATAAAAATGAGACCCTTTCGCATTCATGTCCCGATACTCGTGTATCCCTGTCGGCGCGACTGTTCAACAGAGTAAATAAAGATAAAGAAATGTATATTCTTATATACATAGTTTTATGATACACAGTCTTATAAAACACTTTAGGATAGCCATTTTTTAAATGTCACAAGTATCGGTATAGAATTTGAATATATATTTAAGTGAAAGATTCAAATTCTATACCGATACTTATTAGATTAATTTATATAAAAATTGTAAAATGCTCCTCTCTCGAATTTTCGAGCATTAGTTGATATACAATTCATTTATCTATATCGCTTCAATCGCGATGCTATCTGTATTACGCTTCAATCAAAATCAAATATTCCGATATTTGACTCTCACGCTCTTCACGCATATCTGGCATCTCGCGCTAATCGCACGCCCCCGACATTCACTCCCAGGTAGAAACTCACCTGGCCGGTTTCAGCGGGGGCCAGGGATCGGAGGGATGGGTTTTAAAGGGGCCGCGGCAAAGAGCTGAGAGCTGGCGTGTGCCCCAACACGGAAAGCCGGTTAGTCGGTCTCAATCCGCCGTGGCGTTCGTATTAAGTGCTCTCGCTGCGCTCTGTACAACAGCTTCGCTCCGCTCGCGCTCCGTTGACGACAAACAGACAAACGCAGTAACGACTCGCCGGATATAAAAAAAAAATCCGAACAAAATTCGCTTTGAAATACAGCGCATTTGTCTCCCTGCGGATTCCTCTCGGTGCGTTCAGTCGACGCGAACTGCCGATCGGAAAATTCATTTGTTTCGGTGTAATCTCTGGTGTTGTATACATATAGTGTTTTGGTGCATGTGGCTGCGGTTCGTATAAGTTCGGCGTATTCAGACCTGCGCACATTAGGTATGTCTATTCTATCTTTTAATTACATTAGGTATTCTGTTTTACATTCTTTTAGGATTTAAGATTTTTGCCTTAAATTTTTTTTTTATTGATCAGTGAGTTTTTAATCAATTTGTTAATCAATTAAGAACCTATTTGAGTAACTCGAGGTTTTTTGACGAATAGTCTTTATACACGAATATTAGGTATGATGTGTTTAACTGAAAAATGCCCAACCGAAAGTGTAAATAACAAGTATTAATAATAATGCCGTGTATATTAAATTCTTCACGGCGCACGCGTTCTCATTGAGGTTAATCGCTGTTTTACCGGTTCATTAAAAAAGACATCGTTCATATAGACATCGATTGATCGAAGAGAGTTTACTTTTTTAATGTAATATAATTGAAAATTCTACGTACATATTGATTGAAAAACTGTTTGATAAAGAATATATTCACTCGTACAAAAGATCGGAAAAATGTAAAATGCTTTAGTAACGAAGTATAGAAAAAAGTATATTGACGTAGAAAAATTCTTGATTCGTTTACCATAAAATTTTTTTAGTGAAGAAAACTACATATTGTGAATCTTAAATGTTATAAAAATTGTAATTTTTTTATTCTCAATTGTAATCTAAATTTACGAAGTTAAAATGCATGATTTCACAATGCGCGTTCACTTTATAAAATCCATTATGTGTGCGTAACATAATGTTACGCTGGAGCTGTTCACTATCCGATACTGCATCTATTAGTAATGTCTACATGCATTTTAACGATCGGCAACAATTATATTGTTGTTCACATGTAAAACAAAACGGTCTGTGGAGTATAAATTATGCTGTTGAATCTATAATACCAGCAGCCACACTCCAAATCGCTCAAGAATATTATTGTTTGACGCTTTCATAATTTATATTAAATTAATAAGCTGCTTTTACTGTACTGCCGTTATTACTATTTATTCATTTACTCTACAATACTACTTATTTTTACTGAATATACAATAGAGAGCGATTATGGAAAAATACAACGGCGCTACAGCCTACTTCTTCTGTTTTACCGCTAAATTTGGAGTAACTTAATTCACCGTGCGAATATTCCCAAAGCGGACTTAAGTTCCGCTACGAAAAAAGGGGGAGGAAGAGGGGGTGAAGAAAAAGTAGTAACCAACACATGAGGCTACTCACCGTTAATCTGACATTAACGCACTTCGCTGCACAAGCATTAGCCTCGCATCATGCGAGATGCAAATGCAACTTGTGTAATAACGCGCGCATCACAAAGAATTTTTTATTGTTGAATCTCAAGCGCCTCTTTTTTGCTCCAATATATTTCCCAGCGAGATGTGGAATCAGACGTTAATTAATTAAAAATCTTTGTACTATTAAAAAAATGAAAAAAAAATTGCGAACAAAAAGCTACGCAATATAATGCAACTTTTAAGAAGCAAAAATCAATGACAACAGTGCATGCGTTTAATGCATGGTTACACTTTTATGCCTTATTGCACAAGTATACTTTTAATAGATGTAGAGACTCTCAATAAATTTATTATACATAAAAAATTCTCAAAAATATAAGTATTTATTACTTCCGCGTAAGTTTTACTTTCTACAAAATTATAATGAACTAGCGTGACCCTTGCAGGCGACACCGGAAGATTACGACCAGCTTCCAGCACGCTAAAGCACCTCCCGCCTAACCGACCGCTCACGCCTAGCTTCATCTTTGTCGCACTAACGCACGCACTCTCTCTTCGCCATCTTATCCTTCAAGAGGAAAAAAAGTATCCGAACGATCATGGAAGAGGGACCTTCAAACGACGAAATTACTTTGTACATTACGAGGTTTCGTCGTAGTTGCCGCAATCGCGAGTCGCATGACACAATCGCTGAATTGGAGGCGGAATTACGACGTGCCTACATGGTGAAGGGTCTGCAGGCACAGCTTGAGGAAAGGCAAGCCCGCAGGTACGTCGAGCTCGTGCGAGAGCGCGAGAGCGCCGAAGAGGCCCGCCAGCAGCAAGAGAAGGTGTCGGAAGAAGACCTTCGGCGCCAGTCGGAGATCCTGCGGAAATCCGAGGAGTACAGACGGCAGTTAGACGAACAACTGACGCGGAAGGAGGACGAAAAGAAAGTGCTCTCGGAAGAGGCTCGCGAATATAGGAAGTTCCTGGAAGAAGCGGATCGAGTGCAAGAGGAGCAGGAGTGCTCGAGGGCGTCAGAGAAGAAATGCGAACTCGTGAAAAAGATGAGACGAGAGAGACTGATCCTCGAGGAGATGAAGGAAGCCTGTCGGCAGCAGGAGCACGAAGCGGAAGAGAAGAAGCGACGAGAGGATCTGGAGTACTTGGAGGAGGTAGAGGAGAGGTCGAAAGAGGTGAGCAGGTTACGGCGGGAGCAAATAGAGAGGCGCGAGCGTGTCCTGCTGGAAACGACGAGGATAATGCTCGACGCTCAGGCTCGAAAACGAGAGAAGGAAGAGCGTCTGATCGATCTCGTGGCTGAGGAGATCAGGTGCGAGCTCATAATCAAAGAGATGGAGGAGGCGACGCGCAGGAAAAGGATGCAGCAAGAACTGGCAGCTAGTTTACGGGAACAAATAGTCTTCACGGAACAGTGCAAACTGCGATTCGCGGAGGAGGATAGAGCTTGGGCGGAGGAAGTCATGAGGAAGATTATGGAAGATGAGAAGATGGCAAAGTGCACGGCAGAGGCGAAAAGACGGATGAAAATGCAGTATCGAGAGGATCTAGAGAGTTTGATTACGCATCGCCGCAAGATTCGCGAAGAGGAGATTGCTAGGATTGAGGAAATCGCAAAAGAGGAACATAGGCTGAGATTAGTTGAGGCGGAACGTGCAAAAGAGGAGAGAAGACAATTGTTGACGAAACACGCGACCAATATCGCGAACTTTGTGAATAGAGCTGTTCTCACGACTGAGGAGCAACGAATTCTTGACGATTTGATGAAAAAAAATCAAGATATTGGAAATGTTGATAACGACGAGTCGTCGACGAAGACATAAATAATCGAATAAGATAAAATCTCGAAACAATTTCATATCTTTATAATATATTAGCAACCTGTAACTGTACTTTACATCAATAAATACAATATCAAGCAACAAATATCGAGTTAAAAATAGAGAATTAAAAACAAAATTGAATAAAATGTTGATTGTTTTATATTTTATTAATAAATAATTAATAAAATATAAAATATTGATAACAAAAAAATTTTGTGCAAATAGAAAACCGAAAGAGTAGATAATTAAAAAATGGTAGTCATAGAAATAATAATGACGAATCTGAGTTTGTTGTAGTGGTATTCGCAAACAACTAGAATTTCAGTGACAGTAAATACAAAAAGAAGAAAACTAAGATTGACGAGAAAAGTAACTTAAAAGTTGGAAAAGGAGTGCGATGTTATATATAAAAATGAAAAAAGTATCGCTTAGAAGAAAAACGGTAAAAAAGAGGGGTGATCGAAAGAGTAACAGCCAAGAGAATTACAATGATCGGTAAGGAAATTGACAGCGACAATGTCAAAGTTGGAAGAGAAAAATAATATAGATTTATTAAGAAAAAATCACGATAAATAGAACATAAAATATGTTTTATCATACAATATTTTATCGGTAAATTTCCTAATAATTTTAAGAGAGTTTGAAAAAAATAAAACCAAAAATTTTGATTGCGGTTGATGATTAGGCATATATATAATGCTATTAATATGATTAATAAAAGAATTTTAATTATATTAGAGCCTTGATTGGTTATTTAAGTACTGTTAGATATCAAAAACCGCGCGCGTTAATATGATTAATTCAATCACGAGACATGAGGCTTACAGGCAGCTTTATATCTTGAAAGAAATTAAAATCCAATCCAAAATAAAATTAAATCCAAAAGACAACAAGATGAATTTTAAAAACGACTTTTTAAAGATGCAAAGAAAAAACTATTATAAAAATTTGTGTTTCCTACATAAAGGCTTATAGATTTCCTGAGATAATTATTTTTTTTTTGTATTTAAAAGTAAAATTTTAACAGAGATAAACAATTGTTGACCGAAACAGAAATTATTTCGTCAAACATGACAAAGTTTTCTGTAAGAAGGTCATGAGAAAATTCTTGAAGGCTGAAAGAAATAGCAGGAAATTGTGGCGGAAGTTTAAAACCGAACGGATGTCGAGGGCTTCATACATGTGTACAAGTTAACTGTGCTGTAAGATGCGCCAAATCGAGTTTGCTGGAACAGAATGGAACAAGCAAGACTTACAACAATATAAAAACAATGTAATAATATAAATGTGATTTATCAGGTTGACATTGAATAATGTTGAAACTATTTGATTATTACTTGAGAAATAAATAAATAAATAATAAACGCTGTTAAATAAATAATGAATGAATTATAATTTAAAGGTAACATAAAAAGAATAATATTTAACTAAAAAAATATTTTTATTAATATTGTACACGTACGTAGCTTTATGTACAATTTACTTAATGATGCTATTGTACATCTTTTGATTATATCACGCATTAGCGTCTTGATGCAACAATTTTTAACACATTTATTCCTTTTACTCTCATGGACAAGTTTCGTGCATCAATATCGGATGCGTCGCGAGATAACTTAGTAGAGTGTAAAAGGGTTAAGTAAATCTGATATATGTGGTAATATATTCTAATGTATTAAAATTACAGAGACGTGATCAATACTTGATTTTTCCTGTTATCGAAACCTTAAATTATCAACGCACAGTATACAATGTTTCGAGACGATGCAACATGTGCTTGTGTGATAACATGACTGACATATAAATTACGTATAATATTCTCTTAATATTCTCCGTCCGTAGTTATTAATCAGAGTGTCAGATAAGGCCATTAACAAATTATACGTCCTTGCTATCTATAAAAGTTAAATATCGGAGGGGAAATATTGTAGATGTAATTATTATAAACGAAGAAAGTTGGATGGTTGTATAAAATTACAGTGTAATAATAGATTTAAATATTCGTAGATTAATTTTCCATCTTTATTTATTATTCTGTATCGTTTCAATCGATAATTTACATCTATTTCAGTTAGATAAACCGATGCAATAGATTAATAAATGCTCTCTTTGAGTGAAATGTAACAAATTTCATCTATTTATTTTTAAATTGAATTATATTGTAGATCTATCTATTTGCAACTTCAAAATTAGAAAGAATTATTTGAGCAGTATTTTTTTTTGTGGCGGAAAACATAAGCGACATTCTTTTTTGGAAATATTCACGAGACGTTACCAGAATTCTTTTGAACATTTAATACAAAACATCACGGATACTCCCTTCGCACCTGTCGCCAGGTGTTACTTATCTGTTAGAATGTCCAAAGATTTCCCATGAGAAACATCGCTGGAATAATTTCAAAGAAACTTAAGCGCCCTTTGCTAAATATCTTGTCCAATAGAACAGAGTTCAAGTAGAGTTTACAATTTATGTATAAAACTATTACGAAACTAGTTTAAAGAATAATAAAAAGTATTTAATACTTACTAACTTTTTTATTTATTGTCAGTTATAGTTTTCATTCCTTATCGATGTTTTATAATAGAGCATATTTCTTTAGAAAAATACAAATGCTTCTTCCATAGTCTTTCCATTTGCCTTTTTTATTTATAAGTCTAATTTTTTATTTGCGATTGCTTCATTAATTCTTTTGTATGTTTATGTTATCGAAGAATGTTTTTATGAAAGTGATATCTTGCATATAATGAACATGAATATTTCTGAATAATTAATGAAAATGTTGTATTCTCGTTTATATCATACGACATTAAAAGGTTTGATAAAAAATAAGTAGAAAATGTTGCTCATAAAGATAAGGATGCTTCGATACTTCGGATTTCCGTGACTGTTACGAATATGTTGTTTACGGCTTTCATATTAATTAAAGGTATGTCAGGATAAAATCTCGATAAATGCGCCGTAATTAATGCGATCGTAGGGAGATTTAATACCGCTATCCGAGACACTCAGGTGGCGATATCGATTTCGAAATCGACTTATCAAATATCACATTCTTCTGGTAATGGAAGGCTTCTTATATTTATCCCCATGTTTTTATATCAAGAGTAACGATACAATGTTCATAAAAAAGAATAACATTTATCGATATTAATACAATAAGCGATAAGAAAAAATAGATTGTTAGTTGTCGCCGAGAAACAATTTTAATTATTTTTAAACAATTGGTATTTTTATCATATATTTTTTGTATTTTAAAATTTTGACACTGCATATTTTGTGAAAAATGTTAAGAGAAGCCGAAGATTATTTCTACAATTAAATAATTTTATCTTCTAGAAGCGTTTTAATGATTAAATAGAGTTTAGTAAAATATTTAGTAATTTTTTAATTTATTTATTAAAAGTTCCTATATTCAGTTAAAATTTCCAGATTGGCGAGAATTTCTTGTTAAATGTCAATTGTCGGAGAAACCGAAATTGAAGCGCTGCCATGCGCGATGCATATCGGATCATTAATATCCTGGATAAAATATAAGCTCTGGATAAAATATAGCCCCGATTAAGCTTGCTTTCCTGAGAACTAATTACGTCGAACGTAATAAATCTGTCGATCGAGCACGCGTAGTCAACGTAGCAGAATTAGTCCGTCAATTAGTTGAGCACGCGCAAATACGCGCCGTAGAGAATAAGAGAAAAGAACATTAGACATTGAAACGACTCGTTCAACAATTATCATTACCACGAAATTAAATTATGTAAATTTACTATTTTTATTAATCGTTTAACCAGCTCTAATTTATCTTTTATTGTAGTTGTCTTATCCTTAATTTTGAGTTTTATCTTCGCAAATTACACCCTTCTAATAATAACGTTCTTTTGCTTTTGCCGTTGTAAATTATTTACCACGTTATAAATTGCGTGGTTATCAGAACAGCTTCTATAATTAATACTGTAATGTTAATTGAGATTCTCGTCATGTTAGTTCTTTATAAGACAGTTTTTTTCGTATGCTATTATTATTTATCATTCTATGCACGTTAAAACAATTAATTTTATTTTTAATGTATATGTATGTAGGTATATATGAGATTTCAAAAGTAAGTTTTTTAAAAGTTTTTTAAAAGGAGCTTTATTTGAAATACAAAATAAATAATGAACGTATACATTTATAAATTTTGCGCTGCGCAGATAGATAATTGCATTCACAACTTTAAACGCAGTTTTCCAGAAATTATGTTTCTGGATGACACTATTTTTTAAAAAGTACAATAAAAAGAACAAAAACAACAAAGATGCATAAGTACATAAAAACCAGCTTAAAACAAGATATTATCTAAAACACAGATTTTAATTACAAGAAGTTCGTTACAAAAATCAAGTTGTTATATGTTATTTGAAGAGGCACTTGTCTGGCAGTTTGACTGCTTGGCGAGTCGACGGGTCAATATTTCACTTCTGAACGTCCTATTAAATCTCCGTGCAACGACTACGGAAACCAAAACCTATGCAAATATAGTTGTACCGAAGTCGCAGCGAACAATGAAACTTTTAATGAACGAGAACGCAATGGACGATCGATTCTCGTAACGGATCTGAGGACTCACGACGATTCGATGGCATATAACGAGTATGTACCGTTAGGCGGAATTATTCGTTATATGAGCACAATATTTTTTTTTCTCGCAGTTTGGTCGGGCAGGCGAGTTTTTTTAAGCTTCTTTGCTCGCTACAAGAGCAGTTTTTTTATCTCGTAGGATGGATCGACCAGTCACTTCAGTGTTTATAGTGACGCAAGACCGTACGGATCAAAGCAAACAAGCCTCAATTTTATATTTTATATTATTATACATTTATGTATTTATTTTAATATCTAATATTCTATATTATTTAAATTAAAATATCTATGTTCTGGAAATAATTAAGCAACCAAGAAAGAAAATCATCCCCGCGCACACACATGAATACACATATCTCAAACGCACACATGATTATTAATTAATAATTTATTTACTAAGTACAATGATCTTTTGACCCGTAATAATGTACGCTGACATTGAATACGATATGGTCAATAGAAGA